GGTGTCATAGATCCTTTCACGTCCTACAGATTTAGCGCACGCGTTAATAACCTCGTGATAGAGCATGATAGGGGTCGCCATGTTGCGAGGGTGAGTCGCGATAGGAGTGTGTGTGACACTTTCCTAATTGCCTCGCAACTTCCTACCCCTTCCCCTCTTTAAGAAAAGCAACCCTTATCCGCCTGTTTCTCGCGGGGTTAGTAGACTTTGGATCCGGGAACTTTCCAGCACACGCAACAACTGGACACAAACTTCTACTTCATATCGCAGCTCGGAGAAAATCATTTTGCGCACGTACACACGCACGTAAATCACGTTTTTATCTTTAAAAACAAACTCGTAGCTCTGTGGCATAAACGCGCGATGGGTTCTCCCTATGAAGAATCGCAAGAGAGCCAAATTCTCTGTTTGCACCCTGCGCAACGCCGACGGCGTTGCTGAAACCTCGCCTCGTATATCCATTCACGGCAATCCTTCAAAATGGGAATATCGGAGAAATGGAGTCGCTACGCGGATGACGCGTACGCGAAGAAGATCGTGTCGTTCTCAAGACGGGGCAACGTCGGGGATAACGTTTAAGTAAGAGTGCCAGCTGCGAGAGCGAGTAGCAAGGAGGCGTAATAATCTCGCTACAACGCACGCACTAGGCTTCCATTAAGCCGCGTCGGCAGCATTCTAAGTACCGACGGGTAAAGTGCGCACGGCCGGAGCCGGGTTGGGTACCAAGATCCACGGTAGGACAATCAGTAGGTGGAAAAAATCCGCGGAACAGCCAGAAAGGTAGCCGCATTCCTGGTAGCTGCGGAGGCACGTGGGAATCGCGAGATCGCCCTGCCTCTCCTCCGCGCCTCTTCAGGCCCCCTTTCGCTGCGTTGGGCCTCGGTGAACAGCGCAACGCTGCTGCCGCTTGCCCGCGTGTGGGGCTCGTCGTCTTTTTGGGGTATCTCCTCTGCGCAAAGTACGAGCATCCCGGTAAATAGGTAAAAGAGCCTCCGGGACCGCGCGTCGGACAGCCGCGGGCTCTTTGTCTGCCTCTCTCTCTCTCTTTCTCACCGGAGTAATACGCCGGCCGAGGGAGAGAGAGAGAGAGAGAGAGAGAGAGATGACTCCCCTTCTTGCTAACTCGCGACAAGCTGCTCCTGGATTCTTCGCGCGCACCTCCGGGGACGGAGCTTGCAACGAATTACACGCTTCTTAACCTTAACCATCCGGTAACTGGCCGCGCGTAAAAATCGCCAGCCGATTGGCGCGGGGAAAAATACGCCGCGCCGATCGGCGGAGTCGCGCGATCGCGACGAGATTGTCTCTCTCATCGAGAGAGAGAGAGAGAGAGAGAGTCATCGACCGGTTTTTCCTCGGTGCCCCTGTCACTATCTTTTTTTTTTGTTATTATCCCAGTTTTCTGGATTCTTCGGATTCCGCGGCGAAATGAATGTGTAAAGGCAGACGAAAGGCTGGTTCCCCCCCCCCCGGCGAATTTTTCCAATTCTGCGCGACCGTTTGTTTATCTCTCCAGCTGGATAAATAACTTCCTTCTCGTAAACCGCCGCGACGCGCCTTTAGCCGATGCGCACTTCTCGCGTCTCTCTCGCGTCTCTCTCGCGTCTCTCTCTCTCTCTCTCTCTCTCTCTCTCTCTCTTTCTCCAATCGCGCCGGTGGACCTGTTAGAAGGCGCGCCAGGACGCTCGTCTCTCTGAGCTCGCCTCTCTCGTTGGGGGAGGAGAGGACGAGAGCGCGAGTACACGACTGCGACGACGACGAGGACGACGGGACGAGGAGGACGCGGAGACGGGAAACGAGAGTCCGCTGGTTGCAGCCTACGCGAGTAGACGTGGAGGCAGACAGAAGGAGTAAGCACAGAATATACAATCAGCATGATTGTTTGACACCCCATAATCAGCGTCCTTACCCCTACCACCACGCTAGCAACATCGTGGCTTCTTCGTCCGTTTTGCCTCGCCCCCGCCCGCGCGCCTTCTCCTCTCCTCTTCCTGGTGCTGTGCACTCTTCTCTCCGTTCCTTTCACGTTGATACTACCACCTGAGAGATCTGATCCTCTCCCCTCTCTCTTCTCCCTTCCCCGCCTCGTTCCTCTCGCATCTTGCCTCTTCGGGTACACTCGGTCCGCTGCCACTGCGCGCGGGGCCTCATTACCCCGATCACGACTCGAAATGAGACTCGGCGGGGCGAGGAAGACGAGAAACGGGCACAGTTATATTATAAGAGACAGAAATAATGCTCACTTCCCTTTTTTTCTTCAGCGTCCGGGGACCCCCGGACCGACCGCCATCGACCGGCGCGGCGCGGCGAGGCGTTTACCCTTTCGCCTAAGGGAACGTACTAGAGTCTCGAAATTTATGCGCGGGATTGCGATGCACGACGCGAGAGCGGTTCGCGCGACGCTCGAGCGCGCAATTGTGCGAGACAATCGCGAATTTCGCTCGCTCGATTCACATCGCCGTCACTGACGCCGCGGCGTTAAAAGCCGCGCTATTTCGCATTTCTACTTTCCGCGCGAAGCAAAGCGTGAATCCAATTCGCGCCAATTTCACGTAGTTACGCGCTCTCTCATATTTTTGCGCTCTCGCGCTTATCGAGCCGATAGCACTTTTAATCGTTTTATTTCCCCTCGTACAACTTTCTGGCACGTACGTGAGATTTAGAAAGCAATCACGGTTAGGAGGAGGCGAGCGGGAGGGAGGCGGAGGAGGAGGAGAAGGAGGGTAACTTCGATTCAGTAACGTCGCAAGCGAAGCGAGCAGAAGATAAAAGGAGGAGTCGCGCGAGCGAAGGGCAAAAACAACATGGATCCAGCTCCGGATCGATCGAGAAGCGACCGATCGATCCCTGGTATTACGCAGACGTGCACGTGAGTCGTACGTGAGTGCACGAGCACGTCGGCGGATCCGACGCGACGGCACGCCCGAGCGCCGAGATCCGAATCGGGTGAAAAGAGAGGCTGTGCGCATCAGCGAGCTGGAGGCAGCGAGAGCTAAGGACGAGCCTGCTAAGGACGAGAGAGAGAGAGACGCGGACGGATAGCTCTTTCTCCCCGCCCGGCCAGCACGGCGGGGAGGATGAAAATTGCATCCACCGACGCGCTCGGTCATTTTGCACCACGCACTGCGCCGGCCGAGTCCGAGGCGCGCATCGAAGTTCGAAAGTGCTCATTAGAGTCGCGCCGAGGAGGAAAGAAGTGTCGAATGAATGAGCGGTAAATGGAATATCCGTCGAAAGAGATTGCATTCATTCATGCCAAAGGTGGTGGAAGCGCGGCCCTTTTCGGCCCTCAGCAGCCCAACGACGACGACGACGACGACGATGTTCGGTCAGACCCAGAGGTGAAGCCGACGTCCAAGAATCGCACCGTCGCGGAGATCGCTTTTGCGCACCCCGTGGCTAACGAGCTCGCTCTCTCTCTTTCTCTCTCTCTCTCTCTCCCTCTCTCTCTCTCTCTCGCGTTCTTTTAGCCGCGCGCAATGGTGAGCGTCGCGCGGATAAACGAGCTAATTACACAACGGTCGATCCGCGAAGGTGTCTCGGGTGACGAGAAGTCGGCCCGGAAGGTGACGGAGGACCCGATCGCACCGCCGAGGCGAGGGGCGATGGGAGGGGCGGAGGGGAGGCGGAGGAGGAGATTAGGGCAAAGAGAAACCGCAACGTAGCTTCAAAGAGGTCTCGCCAGCAGGGGCGCGTCTACTTAACTTTGATCAGGTCGAGACCGCTGATGCGAGACGAGCCGCGCAGAAATAAAGTGCCTCTCGACCTTCCCGCCTTTTTGCATCCTATATTATCTCGATAGTTCGAAATATCCGAAGCTATCCGGCGCGCGAGACTACGGGGCGGTTCGCGCGTATCGCCGGCGCGCGAGGAAAATGGCCGTGTTTTTGCCGGCTGCTCGAATTTTTAGCGTGCTCGCGCGAAGATGGAGATTCTTCGAGAACGCGGCTCGAGCGCGACTCGCCCTCATCCACCGGAGGAAAATTTCTGTGCACGCGCTCAGGGAAATTTTTTTCGTAGGAACAGAATTTCTTCCGCCCAAGACTTCACCCGGTCCGCGATGACCGATGATGACGACAACAACGACGACGACGACGACGACGACGTCCTTCCACGAGGAGGACACTTTTTCCTCGTGCCACTCCGTGCGACGCAACGGTGCATCGGCAGAGATCGGCGAAGAGGGAGATGGAAACGGCAGGTTGAATGTCGTTATTACGTTGAATTAGAGGGTGCAGAGCCGGAACGAGGTATGAAACTATTACCTCGCGAAACGGCAGAGGTCCCCTCCTCCTTCCCTCCTTCTCCCCACCGCCCTCTTACCTTCCCTAGGGATCCCCTTCCACGGTCTCTCCCTCTTCACCCTCTCGCGACGAGGGGTTGGGTGGGGTTAGTGCGTAGTTTCGAGTCCGCTCCACGGGGCACGAGGATGCTGCGCGAGAGAGAGTGCGAGATGATGATAGCCGCGCACGAGTATCCATCACGAACCAAAGGAGCAAATAGACCGGAAGATGTTGTTTCTACTTAGCGCTTAGCACAGCGCCGCGAGGGTCTCTGTTATGATACAAACGAGCGCGAGCCTCCGCGAAAATGCGGGGGCTGTTCTCCGGGAGATTCGTTTACGATGAATAATCATCGGGACGCCTTCGAAGCGTTCGTTTGTCGTTTGTCAGTTTGGGCCTCTCTCTCTCTCCCTCCCCCCCCTCTCTCTCTCTCTCTCTCTCTCTCTCTCTCTCTCTCTCTCTCTCTCTCTTCATCATCGGCGGAGAAAGCACGTGCGAGTACGCAATTGCTTGGGAACAATGTATCTCGAGGTTCGTTGGTGTCGAACCTTCAAGGAGAACGAGAAAGTAACCCTGAGATTTTTAACGGAAATATATATGGATTCTTCCTACGATTTCAGAACGAAGACTATGATTTCTCCGCGTTGTGCGAGACGTATCAGCGGACTAATTGACTAACGCGGATAATAAAGAACAAGCGAAAAGATGAAAACTCACCGCCGTGTTGAGGGCTGCGCTTGTAGCAATCCTGATGAACCGAGGAGCCGCCGGTAGCCCCGAGGTGTGTACTGGAAGCCGGCGATGCGGTCGGGTCGGTGTTGTTGGGGTTGGTGCAGGCACCGCTAACCGAATTCGTGGTGACGTTGTTGCCGGTCTGCTGGTCGTGTAAGTGACTACTGTGATGATGGTGATGCTTATTCCTCCCGAAGGATTCGAGTTCCCGCAGGTGGGATCTGAACGAGGTCGGCGCGTCAAGGAAGGGCCTTTGTCCCAGGCCGAGCGCGCGGAACTGCTGGTGTTGCTGCCCTGAAGACAAGTTGTTCACAAGGCGGCGATGTATGTGAATTGATGCTGTTCAATCGCGACATCGAGTGTTTCTAATCGCACGCGCGCGCGAATTCGGCGGCTTCGTTTTAAAGGTCCGAGGGTTTCGCCCAACCACGACTAATTCTAATCGGTCTTCTTCCGTGGGAGCTCTCATCACGCGAAGAGGTCGCGAACAATTTCGAACGAGACACGTTAAAGGCTCGCTTGGACATCTCCTCTTCGATGTCGCAATATTTTTCTGTTATTCGCGTTTCGGACGCGATTCGAAGCACGTGGTATTCCTAAATCGGGGAAATTGACCGATGTGCGCCTACGTCATTAGCCCGATAAGCGGGATAATGAAGAAACTCGATCTCTCTTCCCTCGGTAGACTTCAATAGCATTCCTCGCATATCCGAGGCCCCGTAGATAGACAGAATCTCGGGCCAAGAGAGCATCGCGACCGTACATATAACATAGATACTCCGATTCCCTATTATCCCGGGTCCCGATACACGCTTGATACATATCGTTACACGGCGATGCACATGACTCGGCACGTGCTGCACGAGCTCGAACGTTTGCATAATCATCGGGGACGCGTACAATCGCAAGACGAAATGCGTTTGACGTGGACGTGGACAACGACAGTGTTTCGTGTTCGAGAAGCAATTGTGGCAAGCGCAAAGTTGCAAAGGTCGCGGATGCTTCACCGCGTGGCAAGTGGACGACAGGCTGCGATCGGACGCGCAACTTGAAATATGTATCAGCCGCGACGCGTCGGCGTGGCTGATCGTCGTCTCGACTCCCCGGACCTTGGATAATTCGCATATCGGCATCTCCGTGGTGACAAGAACGGAACAACAGAGTCTGCCCGTCACTAGCGGCCAAACAGAAGCGGCATGTTTTGCTCTCTCGACCACTCTCCATGCCTGTCCATCTCTTCAACGGTTTTTCTCTTCCTCTCTTTCAACGGTTTCAGCATCGAGGAGAAACCAAGAATGGGAGTCTAGGCGCAAATTGTTATTTCTCGGCAGGAGGAGGGGAGAGAGGAAGAGGAAGAGAGAGAGAGAGAGAGAGAGAAAGAGAGAGAGAGGGAGAGTGAGTGAAGGATGGAGAGACAGGGAGGAGAGAAGAACGGTGAGGTAGAGCGAGATAAAGGAAAAGAGAGCAAGAGCGAGAGGAAGAAAGAGAGAGAGAGAGAGAGAGAGAGAGAGAGAGAGAGAGAGGGAGGAGAGAGACACCTCCGGCCACGAGGGCGAACGACAAATAAAGTTCGACCGCAAACTGCACGAAATTGTCGGCGAGCCCAGATGGTCAGCTCCAGTGCTCTGACCGATGCCTACAAGATTATTCCTTGCTACCGACTACCACGATCGGCCCGCGCCAGGAGGTACAAGCCGGACCCGTGTATAGGGCCCCGCGGATCCCACGACTTCTCACGTACCGGACGCCGATAATGCCCCAAACGTACGGAGCGTTACGCAGCGATGGGCCCGCCGATGTACTCCTCGCGCTCGGCCCGGACTCTCCTGAAAGGTCAAACGGTACACGCGAGGTTCGGTTCTTTGCAGTAGCTCTCCGCTGCCGTAGAAACGTGAAATTTCGGGGGAGAAGGCAGAGAGAGAGAGAGAGAGAGAGAGAGAGAGAGAGAGAGAGAGAGAGAGAGAGAGAGAGAGAAAGAGAGAGACGACCGACGACGGCTGAGGTGATATCCGTGAGGTCTTTCGACATCTCCGACATATATCCGGCACTAAGTGCATCTGTCTTTTTCTTCTCGCCTACAATTTGCACGATCGTGAAGAATGCGGTCGGCCGGCGATCAAGACGCAAGATCACGGTGTTCTCGCGAACGGTGTGTGATTGCCAGATCGACGCGTGAAAAACATTTCATTAGAATAAACAAATACGACGGTGATATAACACCTTCATCAATCGTCCCACTGGTTCGCGCAGCTCGGATAAGCGGAGAGAAAGAGAGAAGCGAGAGAGAGAGAGAGAGAGAGAGAGAGAGAGAGAGGGGGGGAGAGAGAGAGAGAGGGGGAGAGAGAGAGAGAGAGAGAAAGAAAGAGAAATGACTCCAATCTCCACGGTACGAGTGGTGGGCTTATCTAATCAGTGTGGCGGCCCCGGGAGGACGGAAATAGCGCGGCTTTTTCCTCCTCTCTAATAACGAGCCCCTCCCTCCGCCCGTCTTACGTCCTCCTTGACGCCAGTGCCAGGCTAACGCGCGTTTCGTACATTCCATTCTCGTCTGTTCACTTTTTTTTTTTCTCTTCATTTCCTCCGCTTCTTAACGTTAAACCGACGTTCGCAGTATCCGTGCGCACATCCGCTCTCGATTTCAGATGTCCGCATCGCTCCGCGATGACCGCGTCATAGTTTTCCGGCCAGCGCGAGCTCTGGCCTCACGCGTATTCGCGAGCGGAAGCACCGCGAGATCCGCCGCACTTCTCGACGCCGTTTTATCAGGAGGTGGTCTTTAATCGGACTTTTCGGTCTCCGATAGAGCCTTCCTCTGACCGGTAGGATCAAGAGAGCTGGTCTCGAGAGAATCCAATCGCGAAGCAGCCCAGTCCAATTTTAACATTTTGATTGACGGCCACCGACCATCGAAATTGCTTCGTATACGCTTCCTTTTGGTGCAATCGGTTTTCTCGAAAACTACTATTTAAGGCCACGTCGATTGGCGGACGCGCGATTTTGCGGAGATACGGCAAAGCGTCGATCGATTCGGCGGCAAGAAACCAAAGTCGACGAGTCGTCATCCAGGTCGACCAGGCCGACGGATCGGCGCGCGACGCGGCGGCCCCGTTCGACTCGCGTTCGTATCGTAGTACATTTGACGAAAACGGGAAAATCCGGCTCTCTTTCTCTCTCTCTCTCTCTCTCTCTCTCTCTCTCTCTCTCTCTCTGTCTCTCTCGTATGCGCAGATATTCCAAAAAGGAGTACCCGCACGTCCTGTCATCGTTCATCATTACGCGTTAACGCGGCTGGGTGGGCACAGGGGAGGACAGGGGAGGAAGTATATCGTTGGCGACGTACCAGAGCACGTTCCGTTTCTATTAAAACAAGAAATCATTTCGAGAATCTGTGACGTACTACTAATATACGACATTCCAAATACGGAGCAATTACGGAGCGAAGCAAATTCAATTTCGACTTTTGACTGACAGCACCCATCCATCGATATCGTTTCGCTCGCTGCGTTTCGATGATTTTGGGCCACGGTGACGGGCGGCGGCCACTTTGTTTCGTGTGCGGCTCTCTCTTTCTCGATTTATCCGTCCGCGTTCGATTCGTCCCTGCGTGTGTCGCCGCCGCCGTTTCAGTTATTGGCAACTGACAAATTACTCAGACGCTCCGCCGTCGCCATTGACGCGTACCGAACGAAAAGTACGGGGTAACGTTATTATTTCGCGGTTCCAATCGCTCGCGAACGATTCATTACCGCCATTCGACGGAAACACCTCAAGACCCGGGAACGTATTGTATCATTTATTTCCGTTTCGGATTTCTTACTCGGCCCGAGAGAAGGAAGGAAGCAAGGAAGGAAGGAAGGAAGGAAGGAAGGAAAAGGTCGTTCCGTTCCGTTCCGAACTCTTTCACGTGGAGCGTTGCGCATCGGCGAATTACGGAAATTGCCCGATTACCAGCCGCGTCTATGGCGCGCGGGGCTGGCCCGGGGGGAGGATTGAATTTCCGATAACAAAAAGCTCGCGATTATGCACGCAATAATGAGAGCCGGCAGGTGTCTGCGGGGCGTCGAGCATTGTTGGCAGCACAATGAAAGCGCCGGTTGTTTAGCTCGGCGCTCGTCCGGCGCGTACGCTGCGCCGCGCGCCGGTTGCCGTGCATAGATTGTCCCTGGTGCGTGCCAGCCAAGGCACGCCACGGTGTGCCAAAAGCCGTGTATGCAATATGTCGCCATGCGTGTCTATTCCGCGCGGGCCGCGCTGTGCCACGCGACAACACACGCGCGTTCGTTCGTGTCGTTTTTCGGTTTCGCAGAGGGCCAGTAGGTCGGCGCGACGCGACGCGACGTCCGCCGCTCTCTCGTCTGCCCGGGCCGACAACTTAAACGGCTTAAACGAGCCTCCGATTTGAAGAGGGTTCCACCTACCGATCGTATACCACCGGTGAAAGCAATAATCGTAAAGGTAGCGGAGGGGCCGTGTGAGAAAGACACTGTTGCGGGGTAATCCCGGCTCCAAGTTCATCTCGCGACTAATTTGCGGATCTCGCGCGCGCGAATACCTACGCCTCTTCTCTCTCTCTCTCTCTCTCTCTCTCTCTCTCTCTCTCTCTCTCTCTCTCTCTCTCTCTTTCAGTTTCCGCTCTGAGGTTCGCTCTTTATCAGGCTGATCGCACGGTAATCGCGCATCACTTTAACGTAGATAGATACACTGGACACACTCTCTCGGAGGCTTTTTCATTTCACATTCAGCGAACGCGGTGATTTGAATTCATCGAGCAACGCAGAAAGAGGAGAGGCCGGTGCAGATTGATTTACGCGCAGTAGAGCAGCTCTCATCGTCGGGGCAGCGAACGTACGGACGATGGCGAGCGAAAGACAGAAGCGGGGGCATCTTCGTCGAGGACGTTGCAAATGTCGAGAGCGGCGCGGAGCTCTGGAAGTCGAACGGCCGCGGCGCGACTTGAAACTTTAACTCCGCCGTTAAGTGCACTTTATGCCAGTTGGAAAATTGACGAGGTTCACGCGTTTGTGCGCGACGGTCGCGCCCGAGTCAAGCAGTAAAAACATCAGTAAAATCAATCACGCTCGACCATTTTGAAAAAAAAAAAAAAAACAACAACAGCGGGCCAGCGGGTGTACGTGGTGCCCATCAATACTTTATACAACAAATGCGAAACGCCCGCAAAAAACTGCCGCTTTCGCGGTTAACTCCGCAACGGCTATTAATCTGATATCGAAATAACGACCATTTTTTTGCTCGCCGCGAATGCATCCCAAAATAGGTGTTGGCCGAATCGTTGGACGAGCACGACCAGCGCGCGCGCGCGCGCGCGCGCGAGCGGACGCGATGTCTCCTCCTCGATCCGACGCGGAGGGACGGTTGCGACTCGGTAGAGTTATAAAACTGGAGGGTCGGGAACCGCGCCACCGCCGCGATCGACTTTTACTGCGTTTCGCGTGATTCTATCAATTTCGGCCGACCGATAATGAGCCCGCCAACAGAATGTTTTAGCAATTTTTCGGGGGTTTTCGCGGCGAATTAGCGTAAGTGAGTTAACGTATCCGGCCGCGCACGAACGTGCGCTTGTAAAAGCATTGTCTCCCGCGTGCGCGTGTGCGTGTGTAGGTGCGCGAATAGCCCGGCCCGAAACACGCACCAGCGCGATACGCACGTCGACCACTGCATCATCGCGCACCATCTGCTCGGTAATGACTCCCCATTACCGCGTACAGGGACTTTCGTTGAATTATCGGTACATTTTCAGGGAATCCCCGGGCGACGCGGCGCGGCGCCGGCGGCAGCGGCGGCGGCGGCGGCGGCGGCGGCGGCGGCGGCGGCGGCGGCGGCGGCGGCGGCGGCGGCGGCGGCGGCGGCGGCGGCGGCGGCGGCAGCAGCGGCAGCGGCGGTGACGGCGATGTCGCGCCGAATAGATCTCGCGATCGAAGCGTCGCATAAAGTGATCCACTTACTCGTTTTCGATCGCGGCTCCCGCGGTCCGTCGACGGTCACCTTAATCGCCCTCGTGTAGGTCGCCACTTGGGGAGGCGTCGTCGATACGGTAATGGTGATGCTGAAGCTCTTTCCTGCGATAGAGAGCGATACATTACGAGTTGGTTGAGAGCTGAGTTTGCTTCATTATTGATCTATGAGCTAAAGAGTTTCATCGAAGAGTTTGTCGTTGTTGCAATTGTCTATTCTTTTTTCGATTTCTGACGGAACGATAACACTCACGGGGGCCGAGTGATCTCGAGATAATTTTTCTCGGCGATTGAATATCTGCGCTCCGTTCGACTTTTCATCCTTCATTACACACCGCGAAGACGGGGTCCGATTTGTAATTTGCGACTTTGCAATTACCCCCGTGTCTATTCGATCGTAACGGACCCTCGGTATTCTTAAACACTCTGAAGGATAATAGAAGAGGAGTGGATACTCGGGGGTGGAGCGGTCGTGTACATATATCATCGGCGAAGGTCTGAAAGTTGAAGGTCCGGTATATTAATTCCCTCTCCATAAACGTCCGTCGGAGAGATTGACTACGCGCTCTTAAACGACCCATCGCGCGCTAATATGCATTCGGTAATTCGCCGTTCTTTCGCAGCTCGTCCATTCGGCTAGAAGACGCGCCAGTTGTGTGTGTCCCTTTCGATCGTCCCGCTCGGAACGGAGAGAGTTCTGTGTCGCGCGGCAAAAAGATTTAACCTCGCGTTATTTACGTTCTTCAGAATTAGAGGAGGGGGAGGGGGAGAGAGAGAGAGAGAGAGAGAGGCGGAAGACAGGCCGATACTTTTTAACCCCGGACGGGCCGGGCCGCCGTCAAAGGGCGACGTAGAAGGCGACAAGTTAGTGCGGGCAAATCGTACGATGCCATCCGTTTTCGCAGGATCGTTCTCGGGATCGAAAGGCTCGGTGCCAACCTGTCCGACATGACGAAACGAAACACGACCAAGACTGCTGTTTACGCCAAAAGAGACGATACCTAACGCGCCGCGGACATGCAATCGTTTGTGTTGGCGTAAATGTCAACGATTTGTAATTGTCTCCCCTTGGTACACCCGGTTCCACCTCGCTGTGTCTGTCAACATGATAACCGGCATCAAACACCGCCAACCCCGCCACCCCCGGGAGCTGCAACTGACTGCAGAGCTACACGGCGTTATATCCCAGTTATATCGTAGCCCTCTCCGCTCTTCCGCGATAGAGCCCACCCCCTCGTTTGCACCCTCCGCTCGATCCCAGGATACCTACCTCTCTCGCGGCCGTCATTGTCATCGTCATCGTTCATCTGTCGCGCGCAAAGTGCATCGCTTCGGAATGTAAAACCGCGTTTTTGCATCAGAAGACGGTTCTTTCGAACACAAACGCCGCCGGGTTGTTCGGGTGATAATCGGTTTTTTTTGTCTCCCCCGACTCCCCCGAGAGCGAACCGAACTCGCACGCGGGATTGGACTCGTTCTTTCACAGAACACTACTCTACGAGTCATCTAAGAGTCATCAAACCGGCGTGTGACGAGCGTGAGACCGACCGACATCCGGGCGAAAAATCGCGGGAAATTCGGAAGGACTCCGAAGTCGGGGGGGGGGGGTGGTAACGGTCGATCGGAGGAAGGGTCGCGCGTTGCGCTGGACCCCTTCCCCCCGACCGAGTCCATCGCATTTGGGGCTAATAATGCTGCACAGCCGACTCCCCTCTCCGGCACCCGGACCTGCGGTTAATACTCGATGATGGGAACGGTCATCTGCAGAGACAGGACCCGGCCTGTGCATTCGCGAACGACGGACGTTCGGACGTTCGGACGGACGGACGAACGGACGGACGAACCGACGGATGGACGGACAGACGAACGAACGAACGAACACGCGGACGGACGGACGGACGGACAGACAAAATCGGGCCACGCGTATGTGGCACCTATATAACGTGCACAGCATCACAGCTCTCTCGACTGCTCACGGTCGTCCTCCGTGTGTTTCTCTCTGCGTGCGTGTGTGTCGGTGCGTTGGCAACACACACCGAGGATGAGATGAGCGCGCCAGGCCAAACCGCCCACACACAACCCGCCCGAAACCACTCAAAACCGTCCGTTAATACTCATGGCGACGAGAGCGGAGGGGACGAGGTCGCGTAGGGCTAGGCGAGCAGCAAGCACACCGGGGTAGAAAGGATAAGGGGGTGGGTGGGTGAGGGAACGGACGTGTCGGTGGTAGGGACGAAGCGGAGGTCCCCGAGTCTCCCAACAGGATGTCTCTGCAATTGTCAAATAATTACTATCGGTGGTAATTTCAGCCGTGTCGATATAGACTGCGGTATATTACTAATTATAGGCACGGGCCGCTTTCGACCCGGCGATGATGGAACGAAAACGGCCGTCTCTCGTCGTTTCAGCCGCCAGCAGCCCTCTCTTTGATTCGGCGCTACTACGTCTCGTTTCTTTCCACCCACGGTGAGCTTTCGGGATGACCCCCGTTCCGGCGTTTACGCGCCGGGCCGATAATTGCCGGTGGGTGGCGCGCGCGCGCGCGGGGGAGGAGGGGATCCTCCGAGCTTGCCGGACGCGGGGGAGAGACACAAAGGACATCGCGCCATTTCGAAAGGACGGTCGATGTCCGACGTAAGTTTGCTGCTGTAATGCGCTTTAATGAAGAGAAAAACGCTCGCTCATCATCGCCGACTTGCGGTTGTCTCGTGTTGTTTCCTTTTTAGCGCAAATTAGCTTTAATAGCCGACTGATTAGAGGCAATAAAGCGCGAGGTGCGAGGTCCGGCGTCGTGATCCTTGCGCGATAACGCGGAAGACACGTGTCAGAGTAATTTCAATCGGATATATACACGCGGCTTGGAGAAAATTGTGCGGTGAGAAAAATCGGGAGGGACACCCGATTCGCAGGCCCCCCCCCCCCCGCCCCCGGCTGGCGAAGTCGCTCGCCGAAAAATAATCTCGTCGTGTTGCTCGTCGTGTCGTCGTCGATCCCCTTTTTAATCGAGGAGGCAACGGCCACGATTTTTCGTGGCTTCGCTGTTTTAAAATCCTCGCTGCAATTTCTTGAATCAGTTTTGCCGGCCGATGCGATGCAATTCAATCAAATTAATAAGTCGCGGAAACAAAACCTCGATGATACAGGAGAGGCCCGGCTCGCCCGGTGGTGGCCGATATCAACACACCGAGGGCGGTTTGGTCAATCGCCGAAATTGAGTATTATGGATTATTGGGGGAGAGATTGAAACGACGAAAAAAAGAAGAAAAAACAAAATAAAAAATAAAAAATAAAAACATATAACAACAAGCCGAAAAATGGACAAAGGGATCGAAGGATTTTGGTGAGGGAAGTGTCTCTTTCGCTAATTGACTCCGAGGACCGGTGCACCTGTGTCAGGAGCACGAAAATCGCGAACCCTGCACTTCATGATCAAATCAAATGAAACATAGATGACGCGATACGGGACGAGCAGCCCGTGTACGAGCAGTCCGGCCCGTTAATTCATAAACGCACCCTCCGGATCATAGGGTGCAAAATGCATTTGTAGGCTTTGGACAAAGCCGCCTGCTGATCCGTGAATAATTATTACCGGCCGGAAAATCGATATTTCGACAGCGCAAACAAGTCGAATGTGTTCAACTGTAAACATTTTGTAAGAGGAATTAGCGCGAGATCCGAAATTCCGCCTTTGATTTTCATTTTCCCTCGCGTTTTCGATTTTCGCTGCCAAATTTTGCGTTACATTACTTTCTGCGTTCATGTTTACCTATTTTTCGTTTCGTTCCTTTACTTTTTGTCTTTTCGACGTGCAGCAATCAATGCTGCTTTTCATTAATCTACACACGCGCGAAAGAGCCGCAAAGGGTTGTCGGAAAATTAGGGTCGAAAATTAAACAAGTCAAGAGCATCGATCGACGTTGGTTGATTTTGGCAAGTCATCCTCTCCGTCCATATCCGTCCATATCCGTCGGATGATTTCTGATTAACGGCCAGTTGTTTCGAATGCTCGGTTGGGGCTTGTGGCAGACATCGAGTAATGACTCTGGGGGTGGCAGGAGCGGGAACTCGCGGATGGGGACGCACGGGGGTGAACGAGGGTGGCCCGATGATGATGATTACAATAACCGTGATTTTAGAGGGCTGGAAATCGCGGCACGCGCTTTTGCTCGTCCTGATATACAACGTCAGGGATTTCTCGTATGAACTCCGATATGATCAAAGGTACGGCAAATTGTTCCCGAGCGAATAATTGGAAGTTTAATAAGCTTCTTTCATACACAAACGCCAAACGGTTCTGTTTTTTTCTTTTTTACTTTTCTTTCTCTCTCTTTGTTTCTAGGAAACACGCGTCTTTTTTAATGCGGAATGATTTCTCCCGTTGCGCTTAAAGTTAAAGATTCTTTTCTGTTTTCTTTCTTTTTTTTTTTCATGATAAGAGAAAGAGACTCACCCCTGCCGCTTCTGCCGACGAACCTGAGATCGTTGAACTTGGCGACTTGATTCTTCATAAGCGCGGTCGAATTTCGCAGCTCCGCGCAACAGTTCTCGTCGTTGCCAGCTCGGACTGTCACTAGGGTCCCGTCGCCGACCTCGCCGAGAGCAACCACTTTGAAAGCCACTGGCAGCGTTTTGTTGGATCGCCAGTGAGTCGGTAGTTGACTGCATAGGAAATACGGCGAACCTGTAACAAAGTTAACGCAGATTTTTATCGTAAAACAATTATTTCACATAAAAATTGAGTTTGTTTTAACGAAGCGGTGAATATATGACGGGCATTTGACACCTGCTCGCGTTGCGCGCAATCGTTGTGTTTCCACGTTCATTCTCTCGTACATTTCTTTTCCTACTCAGGTTTTTCATTTTCTCGAGTATTAAAGATCTCGTTGTCGTTCTGTTTTACGCTTATTATTAATCTAATTAATCTAACCTGTCCTGACGAGTTCTCCAGGATGCTCGGCTTGCGCCTCGCCGACGAGCCTTTCGGTCCACCATAGTTCGCCGACGGCGGCACTCTCGCTCATCTCGCCACCTCCACCCCCGGCGTCGGCGTCGTCTACCTGGTGGTACCTGCTGTTTACACCTTGCAGCGGCGCCAGGGAGGGACCGCACGGGCCGGCGCCTTCGTGGGATCCAACGGTGCCGTAATTCTCCCCGCAGGCCACGGAACCCACCGGTAGATGCATCCCATCGGCCAGTAGCCGCCCCTCGTCGCCTAAGCACGCACCCCCCGGCCGGGACGTCGTGATTTCACTTGCTTCGCGGACGGAAGCGACCCCGAAGTCGTTCCGTCTTCGTGCCTCGCTACCAGCTGCTCCAACAGATCCTTCGTTGTTCGTGATCGATCAGTCGTTCCTCTTCCTTGATGACTGCACCATTTTTCATGATCGAACGAGAGATCGTCATAATCGCAGATGTGGATCTCAATACCGCGGCGTCGCGTAACGGGTTTCCCCCATGATCAACGATCGTTGTCTCTGAGATTCTTTGATGGTGCACCGTTGCATCTCTCGCACGTCGGTTTAGCGGATAGTCCGACGATTTTAAGTACCGTCGTGTCACCGTCGACTCGCAGTTCACTCAACACTCGGTATCATTCGAAATTGATATCCATCACTATTCGAGTATCTTCTACGAAAACACTACCGTCGGCGACACCTAATCATCTGTCTACTCCTACAGGTTGTCGCTGTCAGATGACGCCAATTCCTCGAATCTGTTAGAACGTCACGACGTTACACTTGGACGAACGGCGCACTTTTCCTACATAATATCTTCTGACATTTCCTTCTAGCGAATTGCGTTATAATCGCGAGGTCGGTCGGTCTGTCAGTCGGTCCTCTCTCGCGCGAACGTCAGTCGCGGTCGACGGTGCGCGACGTAATGCCGCGCGGAGCGGCTCGGCGGACCGCGTGTTCCGCGCGTAAGCGGCCCGGGACGGCCTAAGCCCGCGGGTTCTGGACCCCCGCCTCCACTTTTGCCCCCAACTGACGTCCCTCGCGGCTGAGCGTAGCGCGCGGGTTACGTTCGGGTGCTCCCACCACCGCATTGTAAGCCGTCCGCCCCACGTCGCGCCACTTTTCGAAGCATGATCTCCACTGGAGATCTCCCAACTTCAGCGGTGTGTGCTCGCCTCGCTCACGACGTACTCTTTCTCCAGCACTTCCGCCGCCCGGCGAAACTTCGCTCTCTCTCTCTCTCTCTCTCTCTCTCTCTCTCTCTCTCTCTCTCTCTCTCTCTCTCTCTTGCTCTCGTCCTCTCGCATGCCGCGCGGTGACCGTTACTACAAGAAAGAATTGGTGTTCATGAATTCGCTGGGTCGTGAGCGAACAGACGTGATATGCATATATACAAGAGTCTGAATAAATTCGCGGGATTCCCCGTGTGTCAGCACGGACATTCGTCTTTTCCTACAATGACTGGGCGATTCTTATGCCGCGATCGTACTAATTAATATTCAAGCAACTAGTTTGGAGATCGTAATTTTTTTACTGAAATTATTATATAACTTCTTCAACAATGGATACAGCGATCCGGCATGCAATGGTGGGACGTGGTCTAATGATGGTCAGTCGCTTTTCGGGTCACTTCTCACAAACGATAAGGGATAAATGCCAACGAAATTCTCGACGTTATCGTGTGATTTTTCACGACGGCCCAGCCTCCGGTGGTCGTGATATTGCGATGGCCCAGCCTTCGGGCGATTCTTCCCCTCCTTTCTCTAGGAGTGGGAATAGACGACGTGGGGGTGAAACACGTCGCCCAGAGGTGATATGAACTACCCACGAATCTTCCATTGTACAAATCTACCATAATGTAACTTTTGAACATCCGCACATTTCCTCTATATATATAATAATTATAATAATTATTTTCTAATCAACGTAAGCATTTAACCCTTGTCTCACTTGTATGCATATGTATGCGCGCGCGCATGTGTATGTGTGCGTGTACATGTATATGTCCACACGTGTTTCATTGTACGCTTTATGTTAATATTTGAATTAATTTTCACTTGTATATATGAATATATTATATATGTATAAATGAGGAAACTCTTTGGTGACACGTTTGAAACACAAAAGACTCGACTGCGATCAGAGATCAACAGATGTAACGGAGTGAGTGACATTTGTTCGGTTCATAAACACGTACTTGGCTGGTTTCTTTCGGTTTCCGCAAAATCTCAGCAGTACAGCATCCTGTCAGGCAACGGCAAGGCGTAACAAGTGTCCGTGTGACGTCACTCGAGTTTCTGGAGGCGGAGCTTCTCGCTGGGGAAGCAGGTGGAGGGGTCAAACTCTCCCGCATCATGCATCGCTTGCCCCACCCCCGCGATTTTGTTCCTTTACGCTTCCACCACTTTCCATCTTCTCCTTCTCTCGTTCCCCTTTTCCTTCCTCGTGAAGGCTTGGATCTCGACGTTTCTCGCTGGAAACTTGGGACACTGTCCCAAGCGAACGGTATTCTTCAGCAGTCAGCCATTGTTGCATAAATTAAGAAATACCTCTTGTCATCTTCAGTAGACTTGACCGAATTTGCTGAATTTGACTAAAATAATCCGCTTGAGGTCATCTCGTTGATCCAATTTATTTTTCTGGTTGCTCCAACAAATCATGTCGTGTAGTTTGTTGATCGAATGGTATTCCAAAAATTTGGGCATCTTATATCTTTCTATCCCTGTAAGAGAAGGAAATTCTGTCACATAATTGTTAATAAATATAAAAGCCTACAGAAAAAGGTTTCACATTTTTCGGATTCTTGTATGCCCTCTGAGAATCGTTCAAATCTTGATTTCACTAGAGTGTCCAGACCAAAAATTTCGAATCGCGGTCACATGATGCTACTGTTTACTACACTGTGGTCTGCTGAAGCGCAATCGAGAAGGCATATGCGGTTTCCCGTGTTCGCAAGAATACGTGTAGGTGATTAACTCCTTGGGTAGCTTCCACATATGAGGGTGAGTTCACCGATCGCTCGCCTATCTGTATCGCGATACAACGAAATGTTCGCAAACGCCGCAAAAATCGGCGCTTCGATCAATCGCTAAACCGCAACCACTGCGACCGCATTATTTGTAAGTTACACAAGTAGTAACGTACGACCTGCCTGTGATACTGACCAAGAATTAAGACATCAACCCTTTCGATCAGTCGCGACGCGGCAATAAGAGGTGGCGATCTTGAGAATGTATCACACGTTCGTATATAAAAACAGTTAAAGTTTACATATTCCGCGGTTGAATAATTTATTACAAAATATCGGAACGCTAGTGCGTTGTCGCTTTGTAACATACGTTAAATTGCAATTCTGATTATTTTGACGTAAACATATTCCGCGAATACAATATTGCGCTCATGTGATTATTCCTCACATAGGTTTTGACGTGATTACAATTTACATTCTTATGCAAAGTAGGAGTAGATTCGGGCAACGTTTGGCTGGCGTTCATCTAAAAACAAGGTTAGTAAGACATTATTCAACCGCAGCTAGATTATACCCGACGGCTGCATTAGGCAGCACGAGATAACAGATTAACAGCGGGCGGGCGAAACGTTGAAAGACGTTTTTGACGCTTTTTTATCAGGGCGACGGTATCGCCTCGTAGCGAGTCACTTCCAGCGCCACCGGAAAAGCTCACAAGACCGGCTTATCGTTAACTGCTTTCTCAGAAAAATGCCGGCTTATTAAGAGAATTATTCACTATGCTGTACATTACGTAAATCTCGTTCAATAACAATATGACTTAATTTCACACTTTGATCTAATAAGAAAATTTGACACTGAGTATCTATTTAATTAACGAAAATTTGATCGAAAAATCCTATGTGTCTCATGAAGCAACTTAATTTTATATCATTTTTGTGGTATACAAAAGCTGTTTTATATGTGATTAGTTAATAATAAAAAATTTGCGAATACAATGTACCGTGTTACTGTGATAATAATATCGAGTATATAAGAGTATATGTGTTTTGTGAAATCAAAAATCGGAAATGAAAGGCAAATCTTCGTTTCTCCGGTGGACAAAGGCAGAACTCGCTGGGTGTAAGTTAATTTGCCGTCTACGCAAAAGCCGAGCTAATGAACTATAAATAAGGGAGGAATACTTGCGCCAAGTGGACAGCCGCACTTACTGACCCTTCGTAATTAAAATCCCGTCCTAAATCAGGACTAGGGACGCGATTAGACGAGGATCGCTCCTGTTCCGTCAGCTTACGAGCAAATCCGTGGCCCTTACCTTTACCTCGGTTCTTACATGCATGTAAATTCACACGGGCTAGCTTTAGTGCGAGTGCAACTTTTTAAAAGTCAGCTTAAATATTTGATATTTGACAACAGAAAGTCATTACGATTTAATGGAAACTCGAAGGCAAATAATAAGGCAGATTGGAGCAATTTTACAGTCATATAATTTGGAGCCGTTGCAACCGAATGAATACGTCATATGGTATCGGCAAATATTCTTATTAGAGAAATGAAGAAAAGAAAAAAATATGGCTAAAGTACGGCTCGTTCGTGACTATGTAGAGCGATTCTTTCCGTTTCCGTTTCCGTCGATATAATTCGTCGTCTGTTAATCCACCTACGAAGCGTGCAGTTAATAATCCTTTTGGGTAGGACACGCGATAAAACGGGGGCGGCCGAGTCAAGAAAGAGAAAATTTGTAGACAAATTGAGGCGAGGGTTGGAGAACTGGCTGTGAATTTTATGCTTCAGTTCGAAGCGAAAGATACACGTGTGTGCAATTTGTGTATGTATATCCCGGAAGAAATTTACAATTGCGAACGCAACCGTTTTCAATATCACGAATTTTTCGAAAATGATTTTGCCAATTATTAATTATTGGGACTATTGGCTACATATTTCAGAATTGTCGAAATAAAAAGGTATATCGTTTTACCGGGAAATATTAATGCTTAATTAAAATTGTTCACGAAACGCTTCTCTCTCATTTAATTCTACCGCGTCGTTTGAAGGATAACTAACTAGCAGAGGCGGTAAAAATGGAAAGGGACACGATGATATTAGATTCAACAAATAGAGGTCTCAAATGCCACGATTAAACGAGTTGAAACACAGCTCCCGCCACCATTATCTTCCATCCTCGTGTCCCTCTCAGCGGCTATACTTTCCCCGACCACCGACGTAGATACGCCACCCTTGTATGTTCCGTTAATAAGCTTAATAAAGCCCCCGTGCAACTGTCTCCCTGTATTGTCCGGTATACTCCAGATTCCAGCGATACAGGGATGGCACACGAATTTCGCGACACTTTAGAAAGAGCTATCTAATAACACAATCTGTTCTATCGCTTGCTTTCTTTAATCGCGTATTTTCCTGGGACATTGCAATTTTACGCACAAATGCAATTTTACGCGGAAATAAATCATTATTTATATGAGGCAACACATCATCTGAAAAATGTGAAAATTTAACATTTAGATATATGTCATAATTGACAGCATTTTTTGACAGCTGATAAGAAGATAGAAAATGAATTAGATATTGTACTTACAAAAATATCGTATAGTAATTAATTATAGTAATATATAATTTTGATTATATACTGTTCAATTATAATCATAGATTTATCTGATAATCAACTTGATGAGAAATTTTTTTTTTAGTACTTGTACATTTTTATTTAAAGTAAAATATAGATTAATCATTAATATTATTTTTCTAAAATATTTCTTGCATGTATAAACAGTAAATCAATATTTGCCACTATGAATATTAAAAATAAAATATGATATAATAAATATTATACCTTAAGGAAAACAAGAGACATTTCTTCCCAGTCGGGATTCCAGAATAGTGTTGCTCATTCAGTTGTCAAAATTTACAGCTTTCTACCTCCCTGTGCTTACAGCAGTGAGGAATGTAAGCTCAACAAGGTCTGGCTTTGAGAAGGACATCAAAAGGATGGTAATACACAGACGTGAGATCTGGTCTATCTCCCTCTTGCACTCAGGATTTCATCCTATTTGGTTGTGCGTGCTTTAAAGTACAAGCTTGGTCAGTCATTTGGCTTGGATTGCAAAGCGTAAATGGACTCAAGTATTAAACAGAAGCATTTAAGCAGGAATTATTCCACAAAAATATGCCAATTTATAAATTAGGATTAAAAATG